TGGGACTTGTTTGCCCCAACAATAGTTATTAGAAAGATGACTTACTCCATTGCTTTCTTAATATAGTAGAGATGGCCTTGGTGATATTTAATCATTGTCTTATCAAACCGAGCTTCTGACAATGTTAGGGACGTATTGTTCACTTCATCCACCCCTACACAAATTAAGTCAACAGATAAAACACATTAAAAAGGGTAAATATTAGAAAACATTTATTTTCTTTGTAAAGAGAACAGCTAATAAACATGCTATAAATTTACCATTCTCTGTGATGTAAATGATAGGACTATTATATGTTTCCTTTGCATGAACCAACAGCTTGTAAATCCCATTTGGAACAATAGACAACCAATTTGAGCTACCCTGATATCAAAAAGGAACGATAATATTCTTTAAGATTCAGAATAAAGGCATAGTAGTTTAATCTGTTGTTGTAATTAAGACGCTATAGTCCACTACAAAAAATTGTTCGAATTGCTCCATCTTCTATGAAAATATGTTATAGCATAACTTTTTGGATAATCCAATCTATTATCTGTGTTTTTTCTAAGAAAAGACAGTTAAAAAGGAATACCTTTGGACCAATAGTATCCCATCATGCTCACCTACAAAGGATTGAGAGAATGAGCGCTATGTGGTAAGGTTAATTTATAGAACGAGGTCCATATACTTACTTGATAATGCGATACCCTGATCATTTGAGTAACTTAGTGATGTATCAGGTTTGCTAGGTGAATTGCTAGCATAAATACTTGTGTAATAGTTTATGCCCAAAAAATCATCAGTCCCTTTCACCAACTCGGCTTGTTTTTGTGTAAATTTGGGAAGACAGTCTCCAACCAGTTTTCGTATAACTAGTGGGTAGTCACCAGTTACTGCAGGTGCTACAAACCTGAAAAGGGGTGGAGGAAAATGGGGTATAGAAACTTGAGACAATTTTTATATAATATACCAGCACCAAAAACAAAATAAAAGAGAAGATGCTTGTATTTGCATAAAAACCAAACTATAAATTTGACAATATATTTTATTCTTCATAAATAGTAGAAAGCCCAATAAACAGTGGAAGTAAAAAGCATAAAATATGTGAAAATGGTGAAGCCGGAAAGCATAATAACAAAGAAAAAAAAAATTCAGTCTTGTACATTTACACAGCACATCAAGATGGATTAAAGCAGTGTAATTAAATATATCAAAAGGGAAAAAAATAAGCTTGAAAGTAGGCCAAGATCGGGGCCTCATCATGAAATGAACAAATCAAGTATATTGACTTCTTGTGACAATATAAAATGGGTAAAGCCACTCACCATCCCAACACAAAATCAAGGGCCCTTGATGCAGCCTCTTTATCAGCTTTGGTGTCAGTGAGTGGCTCATACCCCTAAGCGACATTTGTTATTCCTATCTTGCCTCCTTGATGTGCCTGCACGTGTGCTTGCATGAAATACGTATACAAAATCTCTGAATTGTACATGAAGTTTCTTTCGTGATTAATAATATATGACAAATGTCACCTGATATCTTTTCCTATAAATATCTACCACTTTTGCATGAGAAAGGATCAAATGGTGAGCCACAATATATGGTTCTGTGCCTGGATTTCCATTGGAGCAAGGAGTTGGAGCCTGAAGTTTGCATCTATGA